CCCATAACGAGGGATTTTCCTTTAAGCCCTGAAGCTTAGCACTGTGACATGAAGAGGACTGAGCCACCGCCTAGACCAGGGCCAGACTTGCCATGGGCGGGGGAGGCAGGGGGAGGTAGGGGGAGGTCAGGCCCCACCAGTGGTACCTCCATCACATCCTTGATGACTGGGGTCCAGCGGGACAGCTGATAGGTGGGCTCCAAGCGCTCCCTCCGCTCTAGCCGGTTTGAGGTCCCAGAGCCCTACAGGCAGGGCACAGGGATGGGGGCGGGGAGGATGGGGGAGAAGGAGGTGGGTCATGGGTAGGACTGGGGACTCATCTGGCTTGGGGAGGGGCTGCAGAAAAAGATGGAGAAATGGAACAGAGAAGCAGAGAGAGAGGGAAGAAGGTGAGAGAAGGAGAGAGAGGGCTGGGGAGGGGGAGAGGGAGAAAGGGAAAGAGAGAGGGAGAGGGAGACAACAGGGAATGAGAAGGAAAAAGAGATTCAGAGCCCATGAGACTAAAACCTGTGGCAAAGAGAGACAACAGACAGGTGGAGACAGAGACAGAAAGGCATGGAGAAACAGCGGAATGGGGAGGTGGGAGGCAGGGTGACAGGGGGCTGGGAGAGAGATGAGGGACAGGTGAGGGGACAGGAGAGCCACCCCAGCAGTGGAGGCAGGGTCAGGGGAGGTGGGACACACAGGGCCAGAGAGAGACAGGAGAGACTAAGCAGACAGCTGAGTACAAGAAGCTGCTGTGTGGGTGAATTTGGGGTAGGGGTGTGTGTGTGGGGGGGGGGTCCTCTGAGTCCTCCAGGAGCCCATGTCGACTGTGTGCTGGTGACCCTGCTCTCCGTCCCCTGGGACTCTGGCCACACATCCCACACTGCGCCATCATCAGGACCACAGCTCTGGCTACACCTCACCCCTGTTTATCATGCAACCCATGACTGGGAACAGCTGCGGTGCCCGCTGGTCCCCAGACCAGACCCTTCACAGACCTCCCTGTCCTCCCAGCGCCCCACCATGCTTTGAATGCCGCAGCCTCCCAGGCCCCAGGCTCTGACTCCCAGGCACCGCCCCCCATGCCCACATTTGCACTCCGCCCAGTCTGACCCTAACGGCTTGCTGCCAGCATACCCCGGGGTTGGTGACCGTGCCCCCCAGCTGCTCCAGGTTCCGGATAAGGCTGCTGTGTGCCTGCACGTTGGCGTGCTGGATCAACTTGGCCAGGTTCTCCTCACTCACACCTGGAAGAGGAGGATGGGTGGGCTTCTAGGGATGGGACCCTCATGAGGGGGGCTGGCTCAGAGAGGGCAGGGAGACAAAAGGTGGCCACAGGGTTCCTGGGTGAAGGGGTTTGAGGGTGGCGAGAGGAGGTCCCAAGACTGTGATGGGGGGGTGGTCCTCAGGACCAAGGGAGCCACTGGGGCAGGTGCGAGGAGGATGCTAGAATTCTGGATGGGGATCCCAGAGGGGAGAGATGGGGGTCCGAAATTAGTTGATGGGGCCAAGTTTGGAGGAGTCAGGTTTGGGGGTCGCTATGTCAACGGAGACCTCATGTCAGTGAGAGTTCCCCAGATCAATGGCGGGGGTTCCCAGGTTTGAGGTGGGTGTATCTGTCGGGTCTGGTGTGCCTGTTGAATGGGGGTATCCCAAGGTCGGGAAAACTGTGGGGTTGAGAGATTCCCAGGACCACTGCAGACCCCTGTGATGGAGGTCTCCGGAGGTCTTCCCAGGCCCCCAACCCACCGTTCCGTAGAAGGATGTACAGCAACAGGACCCGAATCTTGTCATAGGCCGGCACCGCCGTATCCAGTAGCACCGGCACGATCAGCTTCATGGCATCCTTGATCTTCTCACCTTCTGCGTCTGAGCCCATGGCCAGGTCCTGCGGGGCAGGGGTCGGTGGGCTTCCAGAGCTAGGCCACCCCCAGAGTCCTTGGCAGGACCTTGGGGACTGCCTTCTTCCTACTACCAGGTCTCTGAAGGTTTTATCAACAGGCCCCGCCCCTCTCAAGACCCCCACCCACCTCTCCACAGGCCCCACCTCTTATCTGGGTCCTACCCCCTCTATGGACCCGCCCTCCCCATAGACCGCTACTTCACAGTCCCTATCACAGTTCTCCCGAAGCCCCGCCCCCTGACAGGCCACACCTCTCCAAGGCTCCTCCCCTGCAGACCCGCCCCCTCTACAGGCAGGTCTCTCTGAGGCCCCACCCCCGACCCAGGCCCGCCCCCACCTGCTCAACACCGCACAGCTTCTCCACCGAACCCATGAAGTGCTTCATGCAGTCGTCGGCTAAATGCAGGTGCGTGGAATACTGCGGGGTGGGAGGAGGAAGTTGGGGGGTGACAGAAACTGAGTCCCAGTCCCCCACCCAGTTTCCCCGCCCAGGCTCACCTTGTTCAGCTCCTTCTGGTACTGCGGCATCTTTTTCAGGATGTGGGACAGGTCTTTGATGTTGGCCTGGGGACAGGGAGGCCGTGAGGCCCGGCCCTGCGCACCCCGGATCCCACTCCGGGCTCGGCCACGGGACTGGGGCCCCGCCCCCACTCGATGGCGGCACAGGCCTCTCTGCCCCAGCTGCCCATCCAGACGCGGGCCCTCCCCTACCTTGTCCGTGGTCAGCCTCTTGCTCTCACAGAACGTCTTCAGAAGCTCCGTGACCCTCCTGGCGGTGAAGAGTGAGCAGGGGTGGGGCTGGGGACTGGCGCCAACGCTGTAGTTTGACAGCAGTGTGTGCGGGTGATGTGGGGTGTCACACAGCCGGGACGCGGGAGCCAGGAGACACATGTGTCCCTGTACTAGGCCATGGGCAAGGCCACACTGAGGAGTCGGCTGAGGGGCGTGGCTTGCACTGGGGCGCTAACCCAGGGCCAAAGACCAGGCACGTGGCCCACAGTGGGGGGTGGGGGAGGGGACGCGACTGGGGACACGGAGTGGCCCACACACTTGGACACGTCGGCGATGTGCATGTGCCGCAGCTCCACCCACAGGTCATCGTCCTCGTCCAGCAGCACAGCCTTCTCGCGGGCCTCGCTCAGCCCCGTGGTCTCGTACCTGCGGGACACGGAGGGTCAGGGCAAGCAGCTGAGGAGGGACGCGGGAGCTGATGCGCCGGGTTCGTGTGCCGGGGCTCTGCGTACTTGTATGTGTCCTGTTCGATGTTCAGCAGGTCATAGGCCATCGCCTGGAAGGTGAGCTCATGCAGCAGTGGGGACACGGGGTCCGCCCCCCGGTCCATGATGAGTAGCTGTGAGCGGGTTTTTTCAGGGCCCTTGGGGGGGGGGGCAGGGATGAGGATCCTGACCCTGTCCTTCCTCCGTCTCGGCTTCACCCCTCCTCCCCTGCAGGCCCCCTTACCTCACCCAGACTGGGACTGTCTGCCTTGAAGGCATTCAGCTTGGCCAGGACTGCGTGGGCCAGCTGCGCCGTGACCTCTGGGCCCCTGGGGGTGGGGTAGGCAGACACGAGGGCCTCAGGCTTGGGGCAGAAGAGGGCCAGGCCCACGCGGGAGGTCAAGGAAGGGGTTAGGGATGGGAGTCGGGCCCCGGGCGAAGACCAGGACTGGGGTCAAAAGTGAGGTTCAAGGCTGCAGGCAGGATGGGGTCAGGGCAGGGGCGGCCTCGGGGGGGGGTCCCCACTTGCGGTAGCGGATGGCCGGGTACTCCTGCAGCGTGGCGCACAGTGTGGCGATCTGCTGGGCCAGTGCCTCAATCTGCCGGGCCCGCTCCCCCACCCGGAAGGGGCAGTAGAGGTTGTAGGTGCTGTGGGGGGCATCCAGGGAGAACACCTGGGGGGACATAAGTGTTGGGGCCACCGCTCTGGGTGTACCCCTGGCCCGCACACGGCCTCCAGCACCTGCAGCTCCCCGGGGCTTCCCCTGGGCTCTGGAACCTGCCGCGCCATGCAGGAGGCAGGCCGGGATGCTTTCAGCTGATGCCCGCAGGAGGCGGAGAAACAGCCCGGGCCCCTGCCCCTCGGTGGGAAGAACTTAGGCCCCTCTGTGTTGGCTGCTTTCCTTTCTGACCTGAAGGCCCCCTTCTTTACTGGGTTCAGTGTCTTTCCGAGGGAACCCAGGCTGTTTGGTCACCGGCTCCCGCCCCCCACCCCGGACCAGCCTCGGCCGTACCTGGGCCTCGTAGGGGAGGAAGGCCAGGTGGATCTCTTTCAGCGTCTTCACCACCTTGGCCAGACGGGAGCGGCCCAGCTCACCGAAAAGGGGCTCAGGGCAGGCTGGGGTGGCAAGAGAGGGCATCAGGCTAGAGTGGCCCCGCGCCCCCGCCCCGCCCCATGCCCCCTGCCTGTTTCACTCACTGTCAGTGAAGAAGATGTGTGCTGCTTTGTAGGTGAAGGTCGGAGTCCCCCGGAAGTCGGCGATCAGGGCCTGCACTGACTGGAGGGCGGAGGGGGGCACAGACCATTGTCCAAGCCTGGTCCTGCCCCTCCAGAGCCCTGCCCCAGCCTCCCAGCCATGGCCTGTCCCCCCTCCCCACAACACGCGCAGACATGCACAGAGGCATGCGTCTACACACACACACACACACACACACACACTCGTTCACACCGGCACCTTCTCCGTGGGGCTCAGCAAATAAATGGCCTCCAAACTAGGGATGGGTTCTCGCCGTTTGTTGATGTCTTCAACAACTAGCAGGAACGGAGAAAGGGCCGTATGTAGGTGGCACTGGGACCAGGGCTCATGGAGAATCTCAGACTCGGAGAGTCGGACACTTGGGCAAGACGGCTGGATGCCAGGGCAGGGGGAGTGGATGCCCTTGGCGCCTAAGGGGAAGTACCCGCCTGTGGGTCACATGGCTAAGGGTTACATGGCAGGGTTCAGCACGTTCAAGGTCACAGCCGTGCCCCTCTAGGGGTCCTCCATAGAAAGCGACACATTCTGGGCATTAGGGGACCGACCCCATGCTCAGTCCCATCTGGGCAGCATGGGGTGGGGGTGTCCACTCACTTGTAATGCCCTCAGCCAGGATGTCTGACATCTTGCAGCAGGAGGACAAGATGCGCATGCTTGGATGGTCCATGATGAGTACCTGTCCGGATGGATGGACAGAACGACTGATGGACTGAGGAGTGGGCAGGAGAAGTTCCAGCTGCCCCTGAGGTAGGGCTGGGGTGGCGGGCAGGACTGACAGCTTCAAGAACTGGCTGGATGGGGGGACCCGACAGCAGCCTGCCCCACACCCACACACCCACCCCAAACCCCTGGACTAGCGGCCTCCCCAGGGAGTACTTATGGGTCCCACATTCAGGGCCTCCCACATGGGTCTGGGCAAGGCATTCTGCCAACCCCATACCTTCCACTCCCCATCCTTTTTGACACTCCGAATGACTCCGCTCAGAATTTCTGCGGGAAAAGTAGAGCGGGCTCAGGATACTGGATTCGCTGGCCCCAACACAGCCCCAAGCCTTCTGAGTCTCAGGGCTGGGCCTCCATCTTCAGTCCTGTTTACTTCTCTCATCAGTCTTGGGAGGTCACCCCTAGGGTCACCCCCAATTTACAGACAGGGAAACAGGTTCAGAGGACGGGTGACCAGCCTAAGCACCCTCAGCCCTAAATGGCTAAGTCCCTGGGGTTTATGTAGTCAATAACAAATATGCATTAGATGAACGAGTAACTGAAAAGTTAGAGTTCATGTACAGGTCTACCTCCCTCCAGAGCCCAGCTCTCAGCCTCGCCATCGCAACCTTGAGTTCTCCTGGTGGGGGCCTCGAAGCCAGATCCCCCTCCCAACCTCCATCAGTTAGTTTCCTTGCAGGACCCCTGACTCCCTGCTCTGAAGCAGGCCTAGCTTCTCCGCATTAACCTCCGTGTAGGAGGCTCCGCTTTGGGCTGGGGTGCTAGGGGTTTGAGCCATAGTCTGCCCTGCCTTGCGGAGGGAGAAGCAGAAGGGACAGGGTAGCCCCGCCCGCCCAGAGTGTCATGTCCACTCTTATCAGGACCGCCAGGGCGGAAGGAGCAGGAAGGAGGTGCTGAGGCCGGAACTACTTGAGATGGGGGAAGAGGCGACCTCCACCCCTCTCCCAAGAGCCCCGACCCATGGCGGAGACGCCCGAGTCCTCACGCTGCATGAGGTTCGTGGTGACCGGGCAAGAAGGAAGGTGTCCCCCACCCCCCGGGCCTAGACATTGGCCTGACCACAACCCCCAAGCTCTCACACCACCTGGGGTCGTTGACCAGCGCACCCAGCCCGGGCCCCAGTCCAAGAGTCCAACCCCCCCGGACTCTGCCAGGCTCGAAGACCCGGCAGTCGGGCGTCCAGCTGCGCCTTCTCCCCGCCGGCAGCCTAGGGGGTCCAGGACTGCAAGCCCTGGGGCCTGCCTACGCCACCCCTAGCCCGATCCCCCTGGGTCCCGGGAGTCCAGTCTCCCAACTTTGTTTAGCTCCGGCACGGGAGAGCCGGGACGTCCAGCAGGACCGAGTCCCCGCCCGCCCCCTCGAGGATCAGGTGCTCAACGCCCAGCCGGGCCGCCAAATCCTCGCCGCCGGCGTCCCAGGGTTCGTGCACCCCCGGCCCCCGCCCCCCAGGAGACGCACTCACTTTCCCCCACCACCGCCTTCAGCCCCGAGGGCGCCATCTTCCCCCAGGGGCGCCGCCACCGCTTCCGGGTCTGTCCCAAGGTGGGGGCGTGGCCCCGCGCGTCAGCCACCTGGACCCCGCCCCGCGGAGCTGGCCCCTCCCCCACCGGTCCTTGGAGAGGAAGATCTGTCCCCCGCAGAGTGGGCGGGCGGATGTGTCCACGCAGACGAGTGCGGAGTCGCTGGAGGGGCCCCCAGACGACACACGCAGACGTGAGCTCAGACACATCTTCCCTGCTTGCGTGCAGCGAGCAAGTGGGATTGCGGGGAAACAACGCTTTAATCTTTCCCAGACGCGGCTACCACCCTGCCAGAAGTTTCTCCGCGGCTGACGGATGCTGTGTGCCCATCGGGGGCCGTGGGGCCATAAGCCCGTGACCCACTTACCTTCTGTTCCCCAGAGCGTAGCCGCGGGCTGGACAACATGTGATCAACTCACGAGAAAGCCTGGAGGGAGGGTTGAAGCTAAACCAGCAGCCACTGTGTGCCAAGGACCTGTGCCAGATTCTCATTCCATCCCCGGAGAAGCCCTGACAGGGAGTGCGGTATAGACGATGAAACCGCGGCTCAGGGGGACCCTTGTCTAAGGCCACACGATGAATAGGCCTGCTGGGATCTGAACGTGGACTCTGTCGGAGGGGGGCCGCTTGTCATAGCCTTGCCCTCACGGGCTGATAATCACATCTCTCTGCTGATGAACCCGTGGGCTCAGCGGCATGCTCAACCCCTTGCACACTTACACACACACTCAATTCACACTTGACTCGAAAGTTCATGGCCTGCTCCTGCTGTGCCCCAGCAAGTGGCTGTCACCTTGCCACACAGAGGGCACAGTCCAGCGGCACCCATCCAAAAGAGGTCCCGTATCTCAGGTGTGATGCACGGGTGTGAATGCAGAGTCCAGAACTGGTTCCTTCATTTGGCCATGTTTATTAAGAATTGGTCTGGATGGGGCACCTGCATGACTCGGTAGGTTAAGCAGTCTGCCTTTGGCTCAGGTTATAATCCCAGGGTCCTGGGTTGGAGCCCCATGTCAGGCTCTCTGCTTAGCAGGGAGTCTGCTTCTCCCTCTGCCCTTCCCCTTGTTCATGCTCTTTTGCTCTCAAATAAATAAATCTTAAAGAAAATAAAAAAGGTAATGAGTCTGGTGCTTGGCCCTTTGCCACTTACATGGGACGGGCAATTCACTAATTCAATTAGTGAATAAAAACTAGATCTGCCATGTGGCACTTAAGGTGAAGCGGAAGGGGGAGAGAAAATGATCAGTTCTGCTCTAACAGAAATAGTGATGTGAGAGCACATGCCAGGTGGGGGGGGGCGGTTTATCATGTGTGGTACCAGAGGGGGACACTCACAGGGTGACATGTAGATTTAACCTGAATGACATCAAGGAGCCATGCAGCGATGCAGGCAGAGAGAAGGGGATGTGGCTGGAGGAGCAGGGGGGAGTGAGGTGAGCTTGGAGACCAGACCTCTGTGGGACAAGGGAGGACTGACCCAGCCCAGTTTGCCTGGGATTGAGAAGTTTCCAGGACACAGGACTTCCAGAGCTAAACTGAGAAAGTCTTGGGCAAACCAGGATTGCTGGCCACTCTAGGTAAGATTTGGGGTTTTCTTCCATGTTTTCCTACCTCCCTCCATTCCTTTCTTGTTTTTTCTTTCTTCTTCTTCTTCTTTTTTTTTAAGATTTTATTCATTTATTTGACAGAGAGAGAGCAGTCACAATGAGGCAGAGGAGCAGGCAGAGAGAGAAGGTGGGGAAGCAGGCTCCCTGCTGAGCAGAAAGCCCATTTACAGGGCTCAATCCCAGGCCCCTGGTATCATGATCTGAGCCAAAGGCAGAGGCTTTAACCCACTGAGACATCCAGGCGCCCATAAAAAAAAAAAATTTTATTTATTTATTTGACAGAGATCACAAGTAGGCAGAGAGAGAGGTCGGGGTGGGGGAAGCAGGCTCCCTGCTGAGCAGAGAGCCCGATGCGGGGCTCAATTCCAGGACCCCGAGACCATGGCCTGAGCCGAAGGCAGAGGCTAAACCCACTGAGCCACCCAGGCGCCTCTTGTTTTTTCTTTCTTTCATAGCTTTGTTGAGATATAATTCACATAGCACACAGTCACTCTGAGAGTACAATTCAATGCCTTTTAGCATGTTCAGAGTTGTGCGTCCATCCCCAATTTTAGAACGTTCCATTACTCCGTGGCATTTTCTCCTGAGGGCAACGGGAGCCAAGGGAGACTTCTGAGCAGGGGAAGGAGGGGAAGGAAGAAGGGTGGATTGCAGGAGCAAAGGGAGGAGTTGGGAGGCCGTGACACCCCCTCCAGCTTCTCAGGCTGTCCCCTGGGGGTGGAAGTCTGGAGGGTCTACCACCCCCCACTGTATTCTGTGAGGGTGACCAGGGTCTTCTGCAGTTAATGGCTGAATGGTATCCTGTCCATCCTCCCCCAAGACAGGTTGAAGGCCCAAGCTCGGTACCTGAGATTGTGACCTTATTTGGAAAAAGAATCGTAGCATGAACCTCTAACACAACGCGACTGGTTTCCATGTCTTGTGACGGCCATGTGGAGACAGGGACACAGAGGAATGTCACATGACATCAGAGCCAGAGGCTGAAATACTGCAGCGACCAGCCAAGGAGCACCGAGGGCTGCCTGCAACCCTGAGGAGCCAGGGAGAGGAAAGGAAGGACCCTCCCCTACGGGTCTCAGGAGCATGGTACCGCCAACGCCCCAACTTCTGGCTCCAGCCTCCAGAACTGTGCGACAATCATCTGTTGCTCTAAGCCCCCCAGTTTGTGACTTTGTTAAGGCAGCAGTAAACTAGTACATCTGCGGAAGAGCAGGGCATCCTGTTGACATCGAGGACTTGGGGCTGCCGACAGGGTGCAGGCAGGGCCCCGGATGGGGAACCGTTGCCTGGGGAAGAGGACCGAGCTTCACGCTTAGGCAAGTGTGGTGACAGTGCGGCCCATTTACTCTGAGGAGAGGTTTTAACTGGTTTCTAGAAAGGCATCTTGGGTAGGGGATGGGGTGCCCGTGGGTTCCTCCCAGTGGCACCCTCTCCCAGGCCACTGAAAGGAGGCCATAGGTGCTTGGGGGAGGGGGCAGGGACTCTCCTCCTTGCCTGCCATCCCCAGGTACTGAGATGACAGGTCTCAGGAGAAAGCTCAACCTGGCATTGGTGGCAGAACAGGAAATTCCAGACCTTTTTGGGACACCTGGGTGGCTCAGCTGGTTGTGTCTGCCTTCAGCTCAGGTCATGATCCTGGGGTCCTGGGATCGAGCCCCGCATTGGGCTCCCTGCTTCTCCTTCTGCCCCTACTCCCCCTGCCCCCAGCTTATGCTCTCTCTTGCTCTCTAAAATAAATAAAACCTTTAAAAAGGCGGCGGGGGGAATCCCAGACCTTCCGGTATTAGGGCCGGTGGTGGGCAACCAGACCCAGGGACTGGGAGGGGTGGCCGGGAGACTGAGATGGAGCTACTCAGCCTGGTGGTGCCTCAGTGGTCCTCAAGTCCACCTCCTTCCCCTACCACCTGCGGTTGGCAACAGCCCTACCAGCAGGGTGAGCCCATCTCACTCTGCTTCCCACTAGAGGGCTACAGACCCCTCCTGAGCTGCCCTGGTGGCCTGACCTCTCCCAGCTGGGCCAACCAGCCCCCCCCCATCGTGGGGGGACACTGCTCTGGCCTGCTGCTGAGCCCCACTGAGAGTTCTTGGGGCCCAGTGAGTCCTGCTGGACAAGGTCCCAAACCCAGGTCACCCTGTCTCCTACCCCCACAGCAGCACTGTGTCCTGCTGCAAAAAACAATTATCTGGATCATCTTTATGGGGCTTAAGCTTGGGTGGGAGCAGATGGGGCATGAGCTGGGGATTTGGGGCTGGGTATCCACTCCCCCCCTCCACATCCCAGTCTTTTAAAAAGCCTTCTCTGGCACAGGGCCGGGACAGAGGTTAGCAGAGAAGTGGACGGGACCCAGGGGAGGGGAGCGGGGATGATGACGGACCAGGAAGAGAAGGTGGATGGGACTTCGGCTCCCTGCCTCAAAGTAAGCAGATCCCACCCCACACATCCCTAACTCAAGGGCCTGTGAATGACAAGACTAATTGGTTTGTAGGGCACCTAATTAGCAAGCAAGTCTCCTGGGACCCCTAACCCAGTTGCTGCCCAAGGAAGCACTGGTGGGCCTGGGGGTCCAAGGGCCTAGCCCAGCCCCAGGGCAGAGGTCAGGGCTCTTCGTGTTAACCCCTGGGAGGTGGGGGATGCTGGGATTCGGGGGCAGCCCTTGGTATGTTTCCCTGGGTCACATCCCAGCCCCCAGGCCATCCTGCAGTCAGGCCCCAATTTAGGATGTCAGGATGCTGGCACCAGTAGCCTCTCCCTGGAGGCAGCACCACGTGGAGTGGCCCTGCTGGCGGGGCCCCTGGGGCAGGGGCCGGGATTGGGAAGGAGGCTCAGGTCTCATTCTGAGCGGCTCTGCAGAGCAGCACATCGGCGGGGACCATGGTGAGCGCCGAGGAGGGGAGGGGAGGGGAGGGGAGGGGAGGGGTTCCCCAGCTGAGAGGCCAGCTAGACTGAGTGCATCTGTCCCCCAGGCTGGCTCTCCAGACCAGGAGGGCTTCTTCAACCTGCTGAGCCACGTACAGGGCGACCGGATGGAGGAGCAGCGGTGCTCGCTGCAGGCAGGGCCGGGTCCGACTTCTGAGAGCCGTGAGCACGGGCACGGGGGCAGGGGGTAGGGTGGGACTGGTGTGATGTTTGGGGGCATGAATGGGGCAGGGCATAGGGATCCAGGGAGAGTGGCCATCTGGGGGGCCTGTGGGCAAGAGTCTGAGAAAGCAAGCTGCAAATGGGAACACTGGGCAAGGGATGGGAGGGAGAGGCCAGCGCGCTTCCTAGAGAAAGAGTGGGGGCAGAGGAGCGGGTTGGGGGCTCCGGCTATGTCCCCTGGAGTCAGCGTATACACATTCATCCCCGCACGCCTCTGCTTAACGCAGAGAGTGGCCCTGCACCCGAGATGGACAGTCTCATGGACATGCTGGCCAGTACCCAGGGCCGCCGTATGGATGACCAGCGTGTGACAGTCAGCAGCCTGCCTGGCTTCCAGCCCATAGGCCCCAAGGTAGGTGACATGCCGCTGGAGCTGAACAGAGACCTGCTAGGCTAAGCGCTCTGACCCTGCCTCCCACCCCCAGCCAGAAGTAAATGGAGACTTCCTCACCCTTATGTCTAGCCCCGATTTGCCCCTTAGGTGTAAGTGCCTAGTAAAAGTGCCACCCTGGGTCCATGCCAGGCACAGGATCCTGGCCAATTGGATACCCAACTTCGGGTGGGAGGACAAAGGCCCAGACAGGGCCGAGAGGGGCCCAAGGTTGGGCCGGGGGCATGTGAATGTCAGAGCCATGGCTGGAACTCATGGCCCCCGCCTGTCTCAGGGTTTCAGGGAAGACAGAATGAGCAGACCCCCTTCCTGGGAAGACACCTCCAAGGAAGAGGGCATCTGAGTTTATACATGGGACCCATACCTCCACACACTAGTGTGTGTCTATGACACACATATGCACGTGTACCCCGGGCTCTGATCAAGACTCCAAATACCGCCCTAAAGGTGGTAACTCAGGAGGTAACTAAAGGAGTAACTCATGTATGTAGAAGCCGGGGGATGGCAGGGGAGAACGGCAGGAGGTGGCACACAGGCACCGTCTCCCGATGTCTGGGTCAGCTTCGGCTGGCACTGCCCGTGATTCCTCCCTCTGGCTGACCCCTCTTCATCCACAGGATGGAGTGCAGAAACGAGCCGGGACGCTCAGCCCCCAACCCCTCCTCACCCCTCAAGACCCGACTGCTCTCAGCTTCCGTCGGAACAGCAGCCCCCAACCCCAGACACAAGCCCCATGAAGGCCTGAGCCGTCCTGGGCCCTGCTTGGCCCCTGAAAACAAACAATAAAACACTTCCACAAGAAACAAGAAACTGTGTATGTGTATTTTCTTGGGTGGACGGGCTAAGATTCAGGAGCTCTGCTGGGCAGCACGAAGGAGCTTCTCCTCCCGCTGCTTCCGTATCTTCTCTTTGAATTCTTCTAGCTCCCGGCGCTGGGGGGTGGAGAAGGCGGGGTGGAATGGGAGAGGGGGAGGACACACACCTCAGGGGCCTGGACCCCCTTCCCTTCACCCCCTTACTCCCCCAGGCAACAGCCTCAGAGTTCAGCATCTATGCTGGAAGCCCTGCACCAATTACAGCGAGGGTCCAAGTGGGATTAGCTTCACCTTTCAGGAAAAGGGCAAAAAAGAAACTATACACCCCTCTGCTCCCAATTCTTTCCTCAGGACTGAGAGCAAAATCTTCATTCAAACCCATCACGGCCACAGGGATCCAGGCACCTCTGTCCCTTTAGGGGGAAGAAGAGTATGTTACTTACCTGGTCTTCCCTCTCAGGTGGCCACAGCTCCCTCTGTGGGGACAAAATAGCAGCTGGAAGCATGAGCCAGGAGACTCCGGAGCTCCCCGCCCAGGGCAGGGTTGGCTGGTGGGAGGCAGACACTGGTCCCCAGAAGGTTGGTGCCCCATTCTCTCCCCCAGCCCTGGAACGAACCCATGAATACTCTCCCTGTGCCCACCTTACGCTGTATGACATAGTCTTCAAACCATTCGGCCTGATTGGCGATCCAGAACATAGCCACAGGGAAGGTGAGGTAGAGTGTCATCTGGAAGGGCAGGAGGTCAATGAACAGAGCCAGGGATTAAAGCTCTTCCACAACATGCACAGGTTGCTCAGAGCCTGGAGGACCATCCTCCCACGGAGACCGGAGTGCGTCCTCAGGGTCCCCAAGAACCGCACAACTCCCACCACGGGCACAGAAGCCTCACACCTTAGAGCCTAGACCTCTAGTAATAATAATTTAGGAGACCTCAAAGCCTCCTCCAAGTTTGGGAAAACGCCCCCTCAAAGACAAAGACACACACACACACACACACACACACATACGTACGTACACACGCGAGCGCGGAAAGACCCCTGACTCAGAGTACAAAATCCCGTACTAAAATCAAAGGCATCTTCGTGAGACCTCATTACCCACCCGTCCGTTAGATCCCTGGAGCATCTTCAGACCCTGGAATCCTCATTACTTGGAATCGATTCCCCTAAACACAGGGGTCTATCAGAAACGCACAACCACCCAGAGCCCATGAGCTTCCGCAAGGTCTGGAGCTTTCCTTCCTGGAGCCCCTTTCCCACATCACTCCTCTCGGACGCCCCGCCGCCCACCAGCCCGCCCCCTCCGCTGCGCTTCCAAACTTAAAGATCCCTCTCAAAACTCAGAAGCTCTCTCCCCACTTTGCCCTCTTTCCTGGAGTCCCCTCCCCTCCAAAGCCTCCTCCTCAGTGCCCGGGGGAGTCCAACTGTCCACCCGCTGCAAAGCTCACTGACCCGAAACACCTCCAGCTTCACCCCCATCTCGCTTCTCCCAGGCTACAAAGCCGCTTCCGCCCAAAGTCAACCCTCCAGCAAAACTGCAGCTCATTGGGCCTTCGTTGCCTCCATTACTGAAGCTGATTGGTAGACGAGTTTCGTGATGACGTCATCTTCGGGCGTCTCTACTCTGCTTCCGGTCGCCGGCGCCTTCTAAGCGAAAGTCAACAAACGCGGTCCGCGGGGTCGGTAAAGGTTCAGCCAATAGGAAATAGGTCTGGCCGTCCGCAGGAGGCGTCATTATAACGCGACTCCTGCCCGTAGCGGGAGAGCCAGGAAGATGGTGGTGATGGCGCGTCTTTCCCGGTCCGAGCGGCCGGACCTCGTTTTCGTGAGTCCGCGGCGGGGCCAGGGGTAGCCCGTGTGAGAGCACAGGGCTTGGATGCTTCAGAGGTTCGGGGTCTGGCTGCCGGGGGTGTCGGCCAAATTCTGTCGACCCGAGAGCAGGGCGTGCGGGCCGGGCTGCCAGGAGCCAAGTTATGGTGCCGGAGTCCAGGTGGTCTGAGTGAAGAGCTGCTGTCGAAGTTAAGGGCCAGGCGCCCCGGGTCTCCGGTGGAAATGGGAGCGCGCGGGGAGAGGGGTGGGTCGCAGAGCGAAGTCTTATAGAGATCTTGGTGTCTGAAGTAGAGGATAGTGACCCAAAGCCAGGGCTCTGGTTTCTGTGGTAAAGTTTTGGTGTCCTGAGTAACGGCCTGGGTCTGGCCCTGAGCCTTGTAGTTTCTGGAATAAAGGATTGGTGTCTGGATTCGGAGAACTGGAGTCAGATGTGGAGCTGGTCAGGCGATGGCCAGTGGGATCCTTAAGAGTCCAAGACTTGGTATCTGGGGCACGGACACATGTCCTTTCATTGTGCTTCACAGTTATTGCAGGAGATCTTAGTTTTCTTTCTTCTTTCTCTCTTTTTCTTTTTTGCTTTTTTGAAGGCTTGCATTTTCTAACTTCTTGTCTCTGTGTCACGTTTTGGTAATTCTCACAGTATTTCAAACTTTTCCATTAGTTTTGTGTTGGGGAACCAGGAGCCACACCAAATAAAAGGGAAAGTTAATAAATGTAGGTGTTCCGACTGCTCCATGGGCTGTTGCCTGTCTCTGTCCCTACTCCCTGAGACGTGACAATACTGAAATTAGACCAGTTAATAACCTTACAGCAGCTTCTCAGTGTTCCAGTGAAGGGAAGAGTCACGTCTCTCACTTGAAGTCAAAAGCTAGAAATGATTAAGGTTAACGAGGAAGGCATGTTGGAAGCTGAGATAGGCCGAAAGCAAGGCCTCTTGCACCAAACAGCCAAGTGGTGAATACAAAGGAAAAGTTCTCGAAGAAAATTAGAAGTGCTGCTCCAGTAAACCCACGAATGATAAAAAGGTGAAACAGCCTTATTGCTGTTACAGAGAAAGTTTTAGTGGTCTGGGTAGAAGATCAAACCAGGCACAACATCCCCTTAATCCAATATCTAATTCAGAGCAAAGCCTAACTCTTTGGTTCTACAAAGGCTGAGGGAGGTGAGGGAGCTCCAGGAGACAAGTTTGAAGCTAACAGAGGTTGGTTCATAAGGTTTAAGGAAAGAAGCCATCTCCGTAACAGAAGTGCGAAGTGAAGCAGGGAATGCCAATGTAGGATCTGTAGCAAGTTAATCAGAAGATCTAGGGGAGGGGCGCCTGGGTGGCTCAGTGGGTTACGCCTCTGCCTGCAGCTCAGGTCATGATCCCAGGGTCCTGGGATGGAGCCCCGAATCAGGCTGTCTGCTTCGCAGGGAGCCCACTTCCCCCTCTCTCTGCCCATCTCTCTGCCTACTTGTAATCTCTCTGTATCTGTCAAATAAATAAATAAAATCTTTAAAAAAAAAGAAATTAAAAAAAAAAGAAGAAGAAGATGATCTAGGGGCACCTGTGTGGCTCAGTTGGTTAAGCGTCTGCCTTAGGTTCAGCTCATGATCCCAGGGTCCTGGGATTGAGCCCCACATCAGGCTTCATGCTCAGTGAAGAGTCTGCTTCTCCCTCTCCCTCCCCCTGCTCTTGCTCTCTCTCTCTCTTTCTCTCACTGTCTCTCAAATAAATCAAATCTTTAAAAAAGAAGAAGAAGAAGAAGAAGATCTAGTTGAGGGGCGCCTGGGTGGCTCAGTTGGTTTAAGTGTCGGTCTTCAGCTCGGGTCATGATCCCTGGGTTCTGGGATCAAGCCCCGTGTCCAGCTTCCCGCTCCGCGGAGAGCCTGCTTCTCCTTCTCCCTCTGCTGCTGCCCCTGCTTGTGTGCGAGTGCACATGTGTGTGCGTGCACGCGCATGCTCTCTCTCGCAAATAAATAAAATCTTTAAAAAAAGAGTTAAGATAATTAATGAAGGTGAGTACGTGAAACAGACTTTCAAATTTATTATTATTATTATTATTATTTTCTCACAACCCTGAGATCAAGACCTGAGCTGACATCAGGAGTCAGGCACCTAACCAACCGAGCCACCCAGGCACCCCAAACAGACTTTTAATATAAATGGAAAAGTCTCCTCTAGGAAGAAGATGCCATTTAGAACTTAAATAGCTGGAGAGGAGAAGAAGTCAGTGCCCGGCTTCAGCACTTCAAAGGACAGGCAGACTCTGTCGTTAGAGGCTAATGCTGCTGATGACTTTAAGCCGAAGCTGGTGCTTGTTTGCTGTTCTAAAAATCCTAGGGCCCTTAAGAATTAAGCTAAAACTACTCGGTGCTGTGTAATTGGAACAACAAAGCTTGGATGATGGCATATCTGTTTACAACACTGTTTACCAAATATTTTGAGCCCCAATGTTGAGAGCTATGGCCCAGAAAGTGAAGATTGCTTCCCAAAAATGACTGCTCACTAACTGTACCTGATCACCCAGGAGCTCTGACAGGGCTGTGCGAGGTGAATGTTGTTTTCGTGCCTGCTAACGTAACATCTGTTCTGTAGTGCACGGACCGAAAGGGTAATTTCAGTTTTCAAGTCTTATTATTTAAGAAACATGTTTCATGGGGGTATTGCTGCCAGAGACGGCAATTACTCTGATAGATCTGGGAAAAGCAAATTGAAAACCTTCTGGAAAGGCTTCACCATTTGAAATGCCATTAGGAGCATTCTGATGCATGAGAAGAGGTCAAAGTATCAACCTGAACAGGATTTTGGAAGAAGTTGACTCCAGCCCTCACGGATGACTCTTGGGGGGGTTCCAGCCTTCAGGGGAGGAAGCAACCGCAGATGTGGTGGAATCAGCAAGAGAACCAGACGTCAGGAGCCTGACGACAGGACTGCCTTGCTGCGGTCTCATGTTAAAATTTGAATGGGGGAGGAGTGCGTTACTTCTTATGGATGAACAAAGAAGGGGGTTTCTTGAAATGGAATCTACCAGCAAAGATGCCATGAAGATTGTCGAAATGAAAACAGGGTTTTTATTCTTTTTTTTTGTTATTTTTAAAAAAAATTTATTTGACGGGGAGAGAGATCACAAGTAGGCAGAAAGGCAGGCAGAGAGAGAGAGAAGCAGGCTCCCTGCTGAGCAGAGAGCCTGATTCGGGGCTCCATCCCAGGGCTCGATCCCAGGACGCTGAGATCACGACCTGAGCAGAAGGCAGAGGCCCCATCCATTGACCCACCCAGATGCCCCGACAACAGAGCTTTTAGCATGTGACAGAAACTCAGTTGACAAAGCAATTTGAGAGGACTGATTGCAGTTTGGAAGGAAGTCCTGCTGTGGGCAAAACGCTGTCAAGCTGAATCCCATACTGCGGAAAAGTCGTTCATGCAGGAACGAGTCAACTGATGTGGTAAACCATTCTCTCTCTCTTTTTTTTTTTTTAAAGAAATTGCCACAGCCACCCCAGCCTTCAGCAGCCCCCACCCTGATCAGTCAGCAGCTGTCCCCACGGAGGCGAGACCCTCCACCAGCAAAAAGATCTCAACTCACTGAAAGCTCGGGTTAGCATTTTTTGAGCAAGAAAGTATTTTTTCGCCAAGATGTGATTTTTTTAGACATAATGCCATTGCACACTTAATAGACTACAGCACAGCATGAGTATAACTTTTACGTGCACTAGGAAACCAGAAAATTCACTTGCCGCGTTGTGATACTCCCTGTGTTGTGGTTGTTTGGAGCTGAATCCGCAGCATCTGTGATGTGTCCCTGTTGAGGCCTGCCCTCTTCCCCAGGGTTTTGGTGTTTGGTGTTGGTGAGGCTTGGTTGCGGTCCATACCTCTCTGGAGGTAAAGGTTTAGCTCCTGTCGAGCCTGGAAATAAAACCGATAGTTATGTTACCAGCAAAATGGGTTTATTTAAGAGTGGCAGAGAAATTTTATTTATTTTTTTACTTTATCTTTTTATTTTATTTTTTTAAAAAGATTTTATTTATTTATTTGACAGATCGCAAGTAGGCAGAGAGGCAGGCCGAGAGAGAGGGGGACGCAGGCTCCCAGCTCAGCAGAGAGCCCGATGCGGGGCTCAATCCCAGGACTCTGGGATCATGACCTGAACTGAAGGCAGAGGCTTTAGTCCACGGAGCCACCCAGGCGCCCCTGGCAGAGGAATTTTAAACAAGGGTATGCAGGCTCTGGTAAAACCAAAGGCAAGTCTGAAGAACAAAGGAGAGGACTGTCACTTTATAGAGAAAAAGTCAGCTGAGAGGGGCTGCTTTGAAGGAAAGTCTCTTAGAAGAAAGTGATATTCCGGGGGTGGTGATGGCTTCTCATTGACTGAATTCTGGCAGTTTCTGGGCTGTTGCCAGGCAAGGAGAAAATGTTCCTGTGGGGTTTCTGCAGTTGACAAAGAGATGGTAGGCATGAGAGTTCCCCCTTCAGGGCTTCCCCATTCCACTCCAGGTGAAGTTTCCTTATTCGTAGTTCAACTTATCCAAGTTCTGGGGCAGAGTTGAGCTCTGCTCCGGCTAGTGGGAGCCCGAGATGTCAGAGGCCTGGTGTTCGGGAAGAGACACGTTGTTCGGAGTCACGGCTTGGTGTCCAGCTCCGAGCGAGGTCTGGCGTTGGACCCGGGAGTCTAAGGAATCCAGTGATCTGGGCC